AGCAAAGCACAGGGACCGCGGTTCAATCCCCCAGCACCACATGCCAGCCCGCCCCGCCCCCTGGTGGGCTGAGCTGGCCACACACACACACACTCACACACACAAATAAATAAAATTAAAAAAAACAAAAAGCAATTAATGATATCATAAACAAAACAAAACAAAACATTATTCTTATTTCCTTTACTGCTAAGCATCTTTCCCCTGAGTGCTGATTTTCTCCTAATATCCATAGCATCAAATTTATCTTTTCTTCCTCTGGGCAAATGGATGCCTGGCCTGCGTGACCTTATAATTGTAATTAAACTCTCCCCATTAAATGTCAGCGTAAGCAATCTTCATCAGGTTGTGTGTTACTTGCCGAAAAGGAACTTCATGGCAGGCATGGTGGCGCACACACCATAATCTAGCACTTGGGAGGCCAAGGGAGGAGGACTGATTGCAATTGGGTGACCAGTGTAGTAAATTCAAGGCCAGCCTGAACTACACAGTGAGGCCCTGTCTCAAAACAAAGGGGCACAGGGACACTGCTTGCTTTAGATCTCTTTCTCCCTCCACTGAACTGACAAGTGTACGAATTCAATTTTTGTGCACACAGATGGTGACAAAGTCCTAAGGATGGAAGGAAAATAGGAGAGGAGACCTGAATGATGGCCTAGAACAGAACTCTTCCAGCTGATACTGTACAGAAGAGAAATACACTTCTAAGTGTAATGACAGGGCTTGGAATATAGCTGAGCAGTACAAGTGCCTGCCTGGCAAGTGCAAGGTCATGAGTTCGATTCCTGGTACCAACAAAACAAAACAAAACAAAACAAAACAAAACCCTAAATGTAATGATGGCACTGTACTTCTGAGTTTCCTTAATAGGAAAAATTAACATTTATCTTCAGTAAAACTTGGCTAATAATAAAAACTTAATATTTGAAGGTTACGCTACACTTAACACAGTATGCTCACGTGTGTCCTACAATGCTCACATAGTTTGTTTTTAAATTTTTCATTTTGATTTTGTTCCTTTTTATGTATGCAAGTAGTTATCATTTACTAGAATCAACCTAAAGTTTGAAAACTATGGCTAATCATAATTAACAGCAAACTATTTTATCATTCTGTTGCTAATGTATTTGTTTATGCTTTCAAGCTATCCCACGAAGCACCTCAAGTAGGTTCCTTGTGTTAGAATTTTGGTCTAATTACAGTAAGCCTCCAGATATAATATTTTTTCACAATTCCTTCATGGCATGATTATGAGTAATGACAGGAACATATCTCCAAGTACATTTCTATAAAAATGTGCAAAGATATCTATTATTCAACATAAGTACTGCATTTTCTAGGAGGAAGATTCAGGATGATTTAACAGTGATCATTTTAAATGCAACTTTACAGTGAAACATTCTGCAAAATGGTAAAAAAGCAAGTATTTGGATGTAGCCATTGAAATATGTATGTATTTATGAATATATCTTTGGTAAAGAGCCAGACAAAATAAAGTATGACTCATTGTCAGTAAACATTCTCTAAATGTCCTTCTATTAGTATGGGAGAGTTACTGTGGGGTTTGAATAATGTATATAAAATCAAATGTTATTTACATTCATCTCAAAGGCATTAAAACAATAATCTATTTAGTAGAAAGGTCTTAAAACAATAATCTATTTAGTAGAAAAGTCTAACAAATTAATTATCCTTTTTTGTCAATAAGCTGAGGAGCTAACTGTAAATAACTAACACAGTAAGATTTTATTGTCTGTGTTTCTTGTGGTTGCAATTCCAGCACTTGCTACAACCTTAAGGTATAAAGAAGGTCTTACTGTATTAGTCACTATAAAGGTTACAGCAAGAGCTATTAGTAAATGCGTTCTTTAGCACCAAAACATCTCAAAGTTCATCTCTGAGATCATAAGTGAAAGAATTTGCAATCCCAACCTTGGAGTAGTAAAACTGGAAGGACTCTTAGAGATCATAACAATGCCTTCATTTTACAGATGAGGAATGAGACCTTTGAAAAACTACTGTAATTAAACAGTGCTTCTTGAAAAAGGAAAACAATTTCTTAGTGGAACTGAATGTAAAATTATACAAATCAAATCAGTAACTTTTAACACTTTTCTAAGGGCTGTAGCTTTCTTATCTTTCCACTTTGTACAGAGGAAAACTAATGCATAAGCAAACTAAGCAGTTCCCTTATTGGCGCTATGAATCAGTGTCACAGCCGAGAATGCAAGCCAAAACTTCCACTGCTGGACACCCTCGCGCATGCAGGCTGATCTCATTCGGAGCGGGCGCGCCTGGGGGCTGGGAGAAGCCATGTTGGGGAAGTCCCTCGTGGAGCGCAGGATTTCTCAAGCCCGAGGTTTGCTGACACTTCCTTAAATGAATTCTTACCACAATGTGATCCCTAAGAAACAAAACACCACGACACATCAGCCTGCTTACCTTCCTGTAAAATAGTGTCCTTGAATCCTAGCAATTAAAAATGTGATTTTAATCGGAGCCAACCTCAAATGTTCAGGAAATCCATACAGTTTTGTTTACTTTTTATTTACACAAGTTGCCTCTGTGAATCCTTCGAGCTCCCACTGAGCACTTAAAATGAGACTATTATCTAGGTCCTTCTTTATTTAGAAATGTAGCGTCTGTTCTCACAATGGAGCGGGAAGTAGCGAACATAAGAGAAACAAAGGAAAAGTTCCTGGTGACTCTCAATAAATGTCTTTTTCTCTTTCCCATCAACGTGTCAATGGTGACAAACTTTTAAAGACAACCCTTTCAAGGCGCACACACCCTCGCACACGTGCGAGCTCAGCCGTCCAGCGCCCCAGACGCTGCAGCCGGCAAGACCCGTCCCCCGGGTCACGGCCCAGTGTTTTCTGATGACCACATTCGGCGCCCGAGGTGTTCAAGCCATGACCGCATCCTTCGCCCAGCGAACCCTGCCCAGTGAGCTCATGCGGTAACCTGGGCTGCAGCTCTCACTGCTGCGAAGCGCAAGGATCGATCGCGCATCGGGGAGCCCACTTCGCGGCTCTCGGCCGCACGGAGGGGAGACGCCGGGCCAGGGCGGCGCGGGGGGCGCCCGCAGGGAGGGAGCTCGGGCAGGGTGTGCGCCGCCGGGCAAGCCGAGTTCGGCGAGGAGCCAGGCAGCTGCGGGCGCGAGGGGACACGGATAACACAGGCGGGCCAGCCGGGGCAGCGGGGGGCGCAGGCTGGGTCGGCGGGAAAGGAGAGCCGCAGAGGGGGCGCAGGAAATGGGCGCCAAAGAAAGAAGTGAGAAATTGCGGAGGAGGAAGTCGTCCCTGGAAGGGGAGGGGCAAAGGGGAAGCGAGAACCGAGTGTGTGCACTTTGGAGAGCGCAGGGCCGAGGCTCGCGGGCCGGGGCGGGGCGGGC